CGGGGCCAAGGCCCCCCCCCCCCCCCCGGCCCCCCAGCCACACCACACTGCCTCAGGGATGCTAGGGGGCCGTAACCACAGACACTGCAAGTCAACTATATCAAATCCCACCTCAACCTAACCACTGAACCTTCACATTCTAAAACAATTCATCCCCACACAGCTCCCTCCTCATGTATCACTGGCCCCTCCCCTTTCAGATTGTAAGCCCTCAGGGGCAGGGCCCTCCTTACCATCTTGTCTTGAATTGTATTGTGATCGTAATGTCTTCCTTATATTGTACAGCGCTGTGCAAACTGTTGGCGCTCTATAAATACTATGTAATAATAATAACTACATTGATCAACTCAAGCCCCAAGAGAAGGAAGCGGCTCCATACCTGAGAGGGGTCCTCATCAGGGGTCTGTACACCCGACCAATTTAAGGGTCGTGGCTCTAAATGTAATAATACTTGATCTGCGCTAAACGTTTTTCTGCATAAATAATCAGATTTGGCTAATATCTGGTTGATGGTGGTGTGGCCCCTGATTCCTATTTAAGGTGGCAAAGCTACTTCATCTTTTATCTTCTGTGCTGCGTAAGCCCCAGTCCTTCCCCTGAATGAAGCCGAACACTTCCTATTTTCTGCTCCCGAAACCACCCAACGCGACACTCTTCATCTGCCTGTTGGGGCCCCCACATTGTGAGTGACAACAGGTCCAACTGACCATTCTTCGTCTGCCTGATGGGGCCCCCACATTGTGAATGACAACAGGTCCAACTGACCATTCTTCGTCTGCCTGATGGGGCCCCCACATTGTGAATGACAACAGGTCCAACTGACCATTCTTCGTCTGCCTGATGGGGCCCCCACATTGTGAATGACAACAGGTCCAACTGACCATTCTTCGTCTGCCTGATGGGGCCCCCACATTGTGAATGACAACAGGTCCAACTGACCATTCTTCGTCTGCCTGATGGGGCCCCCACATTGTGAATGACAACAGGTCCAACTGACCATTCTTCGTCTGCCTGATGGGGCCCCCACATTGTGAATGACAACAGGTCCAACTGACCATTCTTCGTCTGCCTGATGGGGCCCCCACATTGTGAATGACAACAGGTCCAACTGACCATTCTTCGTCTGCCTGATGGGGCCCCCACATTGTGAATGACAACAGGTCCAACTGACCATTCTTCGTCTGCCTGATGGGGCCCCCACATTGTGAATGACAACAGGTCCAACTGACCATTCTTCGTCTGCCTGATGGGGCCCCCACATTGTGAATGACAACAGGTCCAACTGACCATTCTTCGTCTGCCTGATGGGGCCCCCACATTGTGAATGACAACAGGTCCAACTGACCATTCTTCGTCTGCCTGATGGGGCCCCCACATTGTGAATGACAACAGGTCCAACTGACCATTCTTCGTCTGCCTGATGGGGCCCCCACATTGTGAATGACAACAGGTCCAACTGACCATTCTTCGTCTGCCTGATGGGGCCCCCACATTGTGAATGACAACAGGTCCAACTGACCATTCTTCGTCTGCCTGATGGGGCCCCCACATTGTGAGTGACAACAGGCCCAACTGACCATTCTTTGTCTGCCTGTTGGGGCCCCCACATTGTAAGTGACAACAGGCCCAACTGACCATTCTTCATCTGCCTTTTGGGGCCCCCACATTGTGAGTGACAACAGGTCCAACTGACCATTCCTCATCTGCCTGTGGGGAAGGGGCTCCGACATTGTACGTGACGATGGGCCTCGAGTGACAACTCTTCCTCTACCTGCGGGGCAGCTCCAGCCATGTGAGTAAGCAGTCCCAATGTGACCCATCTTCATCTGCCTTTTGGGGCCCCCACAATGTGAGTGACAACAGGTCCCGGGTGACTACTCTTCCTCAGTCTACAGGGCGGCTCCAGCATTGTGAGTGACAGCAGTCCCATCATGACCCTTCCTCATCTGCTTGCCAATTAGCTCCCTGCGGTCACTTATGTAAGCCAACCTTCTGCAATGACATATCCAGGACACGTCACGTGCTGCAAGCGATCTCTGCCCTCCTATTGGACAGTGAGGTGCGGAGGTATAAAAAAAAAAGTCAGGTGACCACTGTATAAAAACTTCTACAAAATGTATTTGGGCAACAGAAAAATACTCGTATCCAAGTACAGATGTCCAATCCTTCCATTATTCCATCAATTAAGCTGGTCCAATTGGCTTACATTCACTTTAATATTATTAATCATCATCATCGTCACCATGATCATCATCTTTATCTTCACCACTACCATCATCATCACCACCACCGCCATCATCATCATCTTCACCACCATGATCATCATCTTTATCTTCACCACTACCATCATCATCACCACCACCGCCATCATCATCATCTTCACCACCATGATCATCATCTTTATCTTCACCACCACCACCATCATTATCTTCATCATCACCACCATGGTCATCATCATCAACTTTATATTCACCATTATCATCATCACCACCACCACCGCCATCATCATCATCTTCACCACCATGATCATCATCTTTATCTTCACCACCACCACCATCATTATCTTCATCATCACCACCATGGTCATCATCATCAACTTTATATTCACCATTATCATCATCACCACCACCACCGCCATCATCATCATCTTCACCACCATGATCATCATCTTTATCTTCACCACCACCACCATCATTATCTTCATCATCACCACCATGGTCATCATCATCAACTTTAT